CCATTATCTATACTGTTTTAATGATTTGAAGCATCATAATATGCATTTTTGTAAGACTCATTTGATAACACTGTAGTTAGCTAGGTCATTAGTGAAACAATCATAGATGACTCAATGCTAAAGAAAAAGATGCAAGAATTCTGAATACAGTTGAGAAAATTCATAATTATCTGATTGTTTTATAATTCTACATTTCCTATGAGCTATAATTTTTATTGCAATTCTTACCCATTACAATTAGGAATATATTAATCCTAGAAGCATTTGACATTCATTTAAAAGAAATTCAAAACAATTTAGAGAAACTACTATTTTCTACTTTTATATATGTATTAGTTTTCAATAACAAGAGGATTTCCCAAAAATTTTGCTCCAGTTTAACGCAAAATTAGAGCACAAAATTTAAATCATATTTTTCATATCAAAATCCTAGTGCTAAATATCCATAAAAATAATTCATTTTATGATGAAACTGAAACATTCGAAGTTTATTGCAAAAGTTGCCTTCAAGAAGCAAAATGATTGTGTCACAGTATCAATGCGAATTCGTAAATATTACTAAAATGCATTACTATAATATGTAATATAATAAGGACTAGTAAATACGGACAATATACAAAACGAATAAGGACTATATGTAGTCCTCTTAACACGCACCATCACCACTACACTTTATATAAAAATTAGTCATATTTTAACAATAAAACGAAAAAAAAGTTTTTTTGAGCAATCCAGCACTCAAAAAAGCATGTGATTCGATTTTATACAAGTATATAGTATGAATCATAGCCAACATGCTAATTAAGCCTTACGTGAATATTAAAAAGAACACATATCGAAGTATAAAAAATGGCTAACTCCATGAAGTTATAAACTTATATGCAACATTTTGTTCTTTTTGTTACATGCAGATGCAATAATGAACATCGTAGTAGAGTTTTTATGGCTGGGAAAAGAGATAGAGAAGCTTTTTTTCCCTCCCTGTGAAGTGTAAGAGGAAGAAAATGTTTAACGTTGAGGTAAAGAAATCCAGATAAGCAATTAGTATATTTGTTGTTTACAGTGGTGTACATAAACTGAATTCTACATTTACCTAATAACACACCTCTCATTGACTCAGCTATTTCACAGTATATCTTTGCTTATTATTGTGAACTGAGAAACTAAAACTACAGTTAATTACAGATGAAAAAAAAAACAATAAGATTTGTAAAATTATTAAAACAAAAAGATAATTTTGTTTGATTTAAAACGTAAACTATGGAAATTAACATGCCTTCTTTCAAGATATCTTTTTCCAATAGTTTAATGCCTAGACGCACTAAATACTTTTTACATTTTTTTGCACTAATACATTTTTTTAAAACAATTTCTTTCTGGATACTTTAATTAAAAATAATCATGCACGAAGCGAACCCGGATTTTAAAATTTAATTATCATTGAGATTCAAAATCATATGTTTCTAAAGCATATATGATTCATAAATATGTATTCATATGATTCATAAAAATGTTATATTTTCTTATTCCAAAAAATTTGTCATATAAATACAAAAAGAAATTGTACTTGAAACGTTTCAGTCAGTGAAAAGAAAAGACAATATAAAATATGCAACAAGTAACTACAAAATTTTCGAAAAAAATGTATATGAAAAATTAAATAATACTTTTAAAGTGCTAAATAAGAAATGTCTAAATCTAAAAGTAAATGTAAGCAATCCTATTTATACGACTACTCGCCCACCAGCGGCCGAGCAGTAAAGGCGCTGAACACTGGTAGTTCGGTCTGAGGTTCGAATCCCGCGAACGGGCTGGCTGCATAGGCGTTTTCGTGGTTTTTCCCATGTGTAATGTGTATACGAGCCAATTTCCCTTAGAAAGTCCTCCACGAAAGGCATCCCTCCCTTTAGGCAGATAGCCCTCGTGTGCTTTGCCATAATTAAATACACCAACACCTTATACGACTACTCAAAATTCCATATCTTTTTTTAACCTTGAGTGAATGTGGTGAACTTGCGTAATGATTAAAAAACAATGTTTATTATTCTCAAAAACACTGTTCGTCTTAGAGGGAGATAGTCACCAAGAATGTTCACTGCAAGTAAACATTATTTCTAAAAAAACAAAAAAAAAAAAAAAAAAAAAAAAAAAACTGCATGAAGATTTTCGCGATTTTCCTAAAGTATAATGTGCATATGAACCAGTTGCTGAGAATGTACTCCACAAAGGAATCCCACCCCCTTAAGCAGATAGCCGTAGTGTGCTTTGGCATAATCTAATAAATCCAAATCCTACTGAAATATTATGCATAGCTGACTTTCTTCGTAACTAACAACTTGTCATTCAAGTAACTGACTGCACGCTGTGCATGGAAATTTTAATGACATTTTAAGAATAAACTGAAACAAAACAAGAAATAATTTTCGCTATAAGAATATTAGACTAACAAAAGTGAAGAAAATAATCTCAAAATTAATTTTCGACGACGATGTTTTCTCCCACTATGTTTTGTAGCACGACGTTTTCGCCTTGTGTTGTTTTCTCCGCGATGTTTTTGCCTCGATGTTTTCGGCTGTAACCCTGCTTCTACATCTGGTTGGTGGGTTAGCAGTTGAAAGCAATATGATTCGAGCATTTATTGCAGCAATATTAAGTGCAGAAAAAAATTACCATTACCTTGTTAATCTGGCAACTGAATAACTTGCTGCCATTTCATCTACCGTATCCAATGTTCCGTAGTCATATTATAAAAATGTATCATTTCTGGCTTTTTCTTTTCTCCAGTAGTATCATCTATACCGTCATCATTATGTAATGTTGAAAGCATAAGAACAGTTTTTCCCTTTTTAGGAACATAAGAAATGAATGTTTTATGATTTTCAAAAACCAAAAAGTGTAGAGTATATTTCCCTTCCCTTAGAAGTTACAAAAGTAGGAGGAATTTCCCTTTTGCTTTCCGCATTGTTCCTACTTTTTTCTAGAAGATCCGCAGCTAGTGGGTAACTCGTATACCAGTTATCTGTAGTAATATTTCTGCCAGATTTATACAGTGGTTGAATTAATCTTTTCACAACGTCAGATGGACTGGTACTGACCTTGAAGGGGCCATCTGGCTGTGTACCGCAATATATTTCCATATTAGAAGTATAAACAGTTCTTGAGTGTACCAGTGCAAAAATCTTGATTCCGTATTTTGTTGGTTTGTTCGGCATATATTGCCGGAACCCACATTGGCCCCGAAAGGGTTCGAGTTTCTCGTCAATAGTGACGTACTCACCTAAATTATAGGAATCTTTGCAATTTGAAATAAATTTTTCAAAGAAATCTCTAATTGCGGCTAATTTATCAGTGTTTTCTCTGTGGTCTGTCTAGCAATTTATCAAAACACATGCAACGTAAAAGAAATAAAAATCGCTTATAGGACATTGTTGTGTGAAAAATTTCAATACCTGTACTGTCAGTAGCTTAAAGATCCTTTATGTTGAGATGCGATGACTTGTGAAGGCCATATAAATATAAAAGTCCTATAACTGCTTTTATCTCGACCATGTCCGTAGCTTTCGTATCTCTTTCATGTTTATAATTTAAAACTACCTCAGAAATATATACATCCGTACATTCTACAATCATTGACAATATACTATTATCAATAAGAATATTCCAACTACTAAAGGGATCAGTAACATTTCTGGCTTCTCTTACAGGTCTTGGAAGATGAGTCATAATATTATGTGAACAAACTCTTACATTATGTCTAAATTTCTTTTTTTCTCCACACCGTTCTTCCATCTTTTCCAACAAAATCATCGGAATCATCATCATTTTTAGCATCATCCAGTTCATCATCTTCTTCCGTATCTGTATTATGTTCGCTAAATATTTCACAGTCAGTATCACCTTCAATTTCTGAAATGCAATCTTCATCACTTTCAACTGTTTCTAATAAATCTAATAAATCAGCCATTGCATCTCCAATTCATAGGGACTCATTCTTTTTGCCATAATGCACTAAAGAATCTTTAAAAATATAATTTTAGCTACTTTAAAATCCCTTGTGAGTAGAAATATTTATTGTTATACTATGATACAATATGTAAGATACATGATATGATGTGTAAGATACAATATGTGTATATAGATATATATATATGCATATGTAAGATAACAAATTATTTTAACTATTTAGTCAGTATACGTGTGTGCAGTAATTCTCATAATGAAATTATTTGATGGCTTTGCAATTTTTCTGAGCTACAACCTGGTATTTTAATGTTTGTAATAAATGTATTAGATATTGGGCTGTGTGCTGACCTATAACTGACATGCCCCCCCCCAAGTGTACAGAAAATTATATTCATTGTATCTAATTAAAATGCTTAAATTAAATTCACAGTTTATTTGTCATAGGGATAAAAAAAGAGAGAAAAATAAATACAAAATACTTAAATTAATTTGACAGTTTATTTGTCATGGAGGTAAAAAAAAAAAAAAGAGAGAGAAATAAATAAACACTTCATATATATATATAAGATACTGGAAACCTGATGAATCATCTGTTTATAATTTATATTGTTTCCTTACATTATTTGTAGTAAATTATTTATTGGTATAAAAGAGTTAGCGAATATACATTTAAAAAATATTTTGGTTTTTCTATGTGGTAACAAGCTGCCATCAAAGCAGCATTTTCACTATAATTACGCATAAATATATTAGTATTATAGTTATTTATGTTATTTATCCCTTGACACAAATGAAAGAAAAAAAGTTGATTTCATAGTTTGGATTATGCTAGCCACTGATGGATAGCAGACTAATACCTCTAATGGCAGGTCTAATAATACTTGTTTTTTAGAAACTGTATGCCATATAATCATTTTAAATCTGAAGTTCTTGCTTTCTATGCACATGTGTCTTATCTTGTAAAGTTTTAATCAATTTGTGTGCAGAGTAACTGTTGTGTATATGAAATGTTTTAATATATAAATATTCTTTTACAGTGCATTATACAAAGCACAAAAGCTACTTTCTGTGAATTTGGATGCTCCATTCCCATTCCGACCAGGCTTAGAAACCCAGATGTCTAAACTTCCGTGGGATTCCCCTCAAACTGTGAGCAATCCTACCACTGAATTTCAGTGGAAATCTCTACATATAATTATCATATTAGCAACAGTCTTTGTTGGACTCTCACTGCTTTACAAATGGTTGCGGTTACGAGGGCCTCACCGCAGGCGAAAGATACGACCAAAACGAACTGTTCGAACGCCTCAGGCTTCTCCTGGAAGAATTCCAGCAGTTTAAGTTCCAAATTATTTAAATCTTAAAGAATGTAAATTCTTTGAAAATGTGATATCTGTAAATAGTTCTGAAATGATCATTTATGCTAATGCTGTATGTGAGGTAGTAAGCTTTCTTCATGTTGAAATTTTGCTTGATCTCTTCAAGCATTTATTATTTCACATTGTTTAATGAAGCTTTTCTGTAGATATCATATGATGAATATTTCCTCAATACTTCCAACCACAGTTTCATTTCTGCAGTTGTAAAATTAAAATAAATCATAGCATATTAAAAAATCTCAATAGTAAAAATAACAGTTGTGAAATTTCAATAAAATGATAAAGTTTATTATATCCTTAATTTCTAGATATTATTATAAAAGGAAATACTGAGTAAGTGTGTAATAAAGATTTGTGCGATTTCAAATAATTTTCTAGTAGTTAATTTTTTAAAATAAATATGTTATATTAATAAACTTGGAATGTAAATATATATTTCTTTTTATATTACATACTAATTTTATTTTGGTGTATATTATAGAATTTTTTTATATATATAATATGTGCTATGAATTTCTGTTTTTGAAAAGCAAAAATTTTCACATTCACAAAGAACAAATTAGATGTTTAGTATATGATAAAACTATTATGGTTTGTGTAATTCAGTTATTTATTTACATGGCATTATGAAATATGACTCATTTTTTTTTCTTTATTTGGATTGTGGAGTAATTTCACTTCAGGAACTATTAATATCTCATCTAGAGCATATTTATGTTGCTATGCAACATAGTAGTCAACTTTTTCTCTCAGTTAAGTTGAAATCATTAATCAGGATAATTATTGGCCTGGAAAGGTTTTTTTCTATGTATATCTTCCTTTTAGTTGGTAGGAAAAGTATGATATATTGGAAATATAGACTGCTTGATTGCTGAACGAGAACATTTGAGAAGATTGTGAAGTAAAAAGGGAGCACAGTGGCAAAATATGAGTGTAAATAGCAATGGCAAAGTGTAACAGTGGATATTTAGATTTTAATTGGTATTTATGCCCAGTCTCCAAACTGCTTAATTCTTGAATTGTTTCTATTCTTAATTTCTTTTGCTTTAGGTACTTTGCCTTCTGTCATTATAATGTCTCTTCATTGCTGAATAAACTTTTAATATTCTTATCATGTGATTCTGTGTCCCAGTATGATGTCATTCTCATTTAGTTTTTAGAAGTTGATAAATACAGTTATAACATTTTTGCTTTCATTTACTGTTCCCATTTAGAATACTTTCTTTATAAACTTTACCCTCATTTAATGGTTTGTTGAAAAGAAATCTCGTCTAGAAGTTTTGATATAGACGTTTTAGAGCTACATTAAAAAATCTGGAGTCGCTTGTATTATGTGTTTTATTTTTCATTGTTTTCTGTGTTTTAGTTTTTGCATTCAATGTTTAGCTTTACTCTTAATTTACTGTATTAAATAAATTCTTTTATCAACCTAGTTATTAAAGAATTTGTTTCAAGCTTTCTAAAACTGTTAAGGTGTTATAAAACTGTTAAGATGTTATTGTAAGAAATTATCATGTAGAAATTAAGAAACACTAAGAAATTATCATAATGCTGTTATAATTAATTTTTTTCACCTGTTGTAACTTTTGAATATTTTCTATTTCTCCCTCTTTGGGATTGTATAGCCATAACTCATATGTAGTTTTTATATGTTAAAATTCATTACTATGTATGAATATTCAATGTTAAGTCCCTCCCATCTTGTTTATGTTAAATCTGTAACTTTAGCAAATAAAGCATATTTTTACTGATAAGCAGCAAAGAAGTGCACATAACAGGTGTTAAAAAGCAGAAATGAGTATATTCATATAAAATTTTCCTATGTTTGCTCATTTTTGTATTAAACTTAATTTATGTTTCTGGATCATTACTTTAAAATAAGGTAAAGTAGGCTTTTAAGTTAGTATATAAAAACTACTGTCATTAATTGTAAAATATTAGTTTAATATAGAAAATTATTAAAATTTTTATAATAAATTTACAAAAATTTAAATTCATGAGAAAATTATGTAAAATTATCCAATGAAAGATTGAATATTCACAACTGTTATTTTTACTACAGTATCAAATTAGTTTCATTTGGGTGTTGTTGTTTTAAAATTGGCAATTCCGTTATGAAATCAAACACAGACTGTTCGTTAATTTCCTTTTACGTATTATATTTTATAATTTGTAATAATACATTAAACTATTTTTCTTTGAATAATAGTTTTTTGTAAAAAAAGTAAATCCCATATTATTAACATACTAAATTTAAAACTTGATCAGATGTTTAAGTTTATACTGTCTTACACATTTATGAATGTAAAATGTAACTATAACAATATTTTTACATTTTGCAGCATTTGATTATTTACTTTCAGGATATTTAGATTATCTTTTTACTAATTCTGTGTGCTTCGTACTAACATCTTTTGGGTGATGGTGTCACTATCACTATGCTGTAGTGTTGAATAAAGATTTCTATATTTATGCAGGTTAAGCATGAGTCCTGGTTACTGCCAGGTGGCACACGTGTCCAGAAAACGTGCCACACTGTCAGTAGATGTAGAAAATTAGTGTTTCCATTTACTCCTGATATTGTTGGATTGCCAGATATTGTAGAAATAAGGTGCAATATTGAAGTTCATGAACAACTGCAGTTAAGTGAAGAAGACTTCTTTTTAGTGCCACCTGAAGAACATAGTATAAGCAATACTGAGATCAGTGGCACAAGTGATAATTATATCTATTCTACCTCATTGTCAGCTGAGGATCTACCTGATAATATGGTTACAAGTACTTCTCTTAATGTGTATTCTGAATCAGACACAGCATACAGATTTAGTAGAGTTTCAGGTCATCATATTGAAGTGCACTATGATTTCATTGAACATAAAGACACTAAGAAATTTTGCGAACAAATTTCTATAAAAAGCATATTTATTCCACATTCTGAAGACACAAGTGTGTGTAGCGCAGCTATAACTACTGTAAATAGGAACATTTAATCAATGATAACATACTGTAATTCTTCGAGCATTCTTTCTACAGTTTACAACGTCATGGATAGATTGTCAACACTGCCTTTCCAGAAAATTTTTTTATTGTTTGTATAGTAAAACATTACTTTCATTACATTGATGTATATTGTACATTTAGAAGAAACAGTAAAACGTATACATAAATTTTGTGATATGTATTTAAATGAGTTCTTAATGGGTGCTTGAATATAGTATAAATTATTTCTGTTCATGCTCTTTTAATTTCATGTACATTGTTAAATTTTAGAGAATTAATTTCATTTTCATATGCAGGACTTAATCTTTCATTCTTTAAAAAGTATTGTATTGTCTTGAACATAAGGCAGTCTTGTATATAATATCCTATTTTTTTTAAGGTGCTTTAGATGGGAGGGGTAGAAGAGTTTATATATGACAGACAGCATATGTTTGAGCTTGATAATTTACAAAAATTCAATAAGAAATTAAATGTTCTATGTATCTTCTTATGAGATAACAATATACAAGTTTTCCTTTCACTGTAAAATTTACATTAAATTACACTTTTTAAATGTTGTGTTGTGCATTTGAGATGGGTGTGTTTCTCAGAAGTGAATCTTAAGAGGGAGGGGGATCACTTAATGATCAAGCCTGTATGAATTTCTTTTAAAAATAAATTATTTTATAATGTTATATATTTAGATTAGAGATATATTTTACCTCTTTATCCCAATTTTTGAGTTTCCTCAAATACAAAGCATTTATTTTCCAAATTATCTGTTATAAAAACATAAAAATTCTAAATTGTTTATATAGAGATTTTTAAAATTATGTAGCTCATAAACATTTAATCTGTTATTTAAAATTGTTTATTGAGCAGGCTATTTCATATAAATCTGATGATTTCTGTAGCTTATTTTTTTGAATAACAATAAAGCTAACTGTAAATTACTGCATCTGTAATGTAAAATATCTGTTGAAGATTATTAACCTTGACAATAAATTCTGAAAATATCCTTTCTTGCACTGAAGGCAAGCTAAGAATGTTATCCACTTATCCTAGCTGTTTGCTATTTTAACTGATCTCTCAGTAATGTTACACTTTCTTATCATCAGTATTGCTAATTTCATATGTAATGTTCTCCTTTAAATTGTCCATTGTTCTAGAAGTTTTTAATTTTTTTTGTTTTGTTCTTTTGTAATAAGGCTTACAAAATGCGAAAGTCATTCTTTATTGCTTATTTTTATTCTTGTTTCATTTTATTGATAGCAGGTTGATTCATTGATTTCATTTTATTGTAATGGATTAAAAATTATTTTGCCTTTTATGCAGTGCTTACTATTCATTTGCACAGGGACATGTGATTTCTCATAGAACCATAGAACATGTGGAAGTAAAATTATAATTTTGAAGTTTTACATATGCTCACATGATATGCTTCATTGTTTCAGTATTCATAAATTAACAAATCAAAAGTTTCAATTTTTCAGTTTTGAGCAAATAAATAGAACTATTATATTAGAAGTGTAAAAGAAATAAATCATGTATTTAATTTTTTAATAATGGGGTTAAAAATGAAATACTTTTTGATGAATCTGAATATCAGCAACAATAAACTTTCCATGTGATAGCTTCACAAATTTAAAAAGAAAATATTAAATTTGATTAAAAAGCTATTATACTTGAGTCTTTAAAATGTAGTCATAAGTTTATTTATTTATTTTGAGGAGAAGTTCTAAGTATGATATAGTTTAGGAGAATTCTTAAATAATTACAGTATTGAAATTCTCAAGCTTTGAATATAAAAATGATGGTACTTAATTAAGCATTTAAAATTGTAAGCAATTTTTTTCTCCTGCTAGCTGACTTTAATAGTATTTTTGGAATCATATTTTTTTATTAAAATTCTTTGATAATCTTTTCTTATTATTTCTTCTGCAGTATTAATGACCCTGAACTATTATAGTTAAAGTAAGTCCGTTTTGGGCAGTTTTGAAATCTTAATGCAAGAAGCTTATGTAATTTTCATGTGTAATTTTTTGAATGATTAATTTAGCAGTTCACTTTTCTTAAGCTTATAGGTTTTCTATGATATTTCTTTCAAAATTCAGTGATAAAATTTGGTAGCTGAAAACTCTGAGCTATTAGAATAGAGAAAAATGAAAGGACTAACATTTACTGCAATTTTCATTTTGCCTTTTTCACCCCCAGCCTTAAAAACTGAGCCAGGCACAAGCTGGAAATCTTAGGGATATAAAAATGAAATTTTGGAAAACATATGAGTTTTTAATGTATAAGAAAAGTAAATGTATATTTTTGAAGTATGAAGTGATAGACTCAGGAAACATATGATTTTAAACTTAATTCTGAATAAATTCTATTTAATATTGATCTCTGTTAATCTAGTGGTCTAATAAAAAATGTAGATAATCATTTTTTATCTCCTATCTTTTCTAATTACTTTTCTGATCATTAAATGATAGTGGTAGATGTATATCGGCAATGATTATAAAAAGGAATATTTTTTTAGTTCCTAGTGATTAATTTGATTATCTATAAATGAGCTGCGGCTGCACAATGCATTTTTGGATTTCACACTTACTGTTATATTACAGTATTTAAATATACTGAAAAATATATTACATATAAATGTAATACATATACAAACACGTAAGTATGTCTGTGTGTATGTATATATATATATATATAATATATATTAAGTAGAGATATTTTTAAAAATAATCATCCAGCAGTATTGCAGCTCTGATATTAAACATTTTGAAATTAAATAAGTTGGTATTTTTGTTCAGTTGAATTTGTTTTCTGTAATCTCTGTAATAAAGGATCTCCAAAATTTTTACTTATTGGCATTTTGTGTTAAATAATAGGCTTTAAATATATTGACAGAGTTATGTGAAAAGCATTTTAGTTTAGTCATTTGATATTATGTATTGTTGAAAAATGGTTGACTTTTATTTAAAATTATTTTTCTAGAACTTATTAACAACATGGAGGCCTAGACTGTTTTCAGAGTTTGGTTTTGAAATAATTTTATAAATACAAAATCTGTCATTCAGATATAAAATTAATTTCATATATCATTTCTAGTCATTAATTTTATAACATGCCTGATGCTTTGTAGGTTTTGTTATAGAAAATTGATTTCTGATTCAAAAATTATTTACTAATTGTACTTTATTCTAAATAATTTGAAATGTTAATTAAGCACATACTGGTGGAAACAAAGGCCTTCTTTCTATTTATTTACAGTTAATTGAAAGATTTATGCAGTTTCAATGCTCTGAAAATGCAAATTTGTCTTGTTTAAATTTTAAAAAATTACTTCATTCTTTAAATTTGAATTTTGTTTTAAAAAATACAATAATGCTTTGACTTATGCTATTAGTGAACTCAAAGTTATATAGTTTCTTATTTATCTATTCTTTTTCAAAAATGAAATGAAAAAATTACCAAACTGATTATGTTCTCATGTAATAAAAAAAGTCTGTCAATCTTGTCTGGTTTTTAGTTCATAATAATAATGCCAGTGGATTTTGGATTCACATAGTAAAGAGCAGATAACTGATGAATTTATAGAGATATGTAACTAAATTTGTAGAGATTTATGACCAAGTTGAAATACTGTGTGATGATGAAGCAATTTTGTAATTTATCCTTGTATACCTTTTTTAAGAAGGAGGGGGTGGTAAATCATGCATTTATTTGTAATTTGAGGTTTTTCTGATAGGAAAGTTTTATCCATAATACTTATTTCACTTTTCCATTTGGAACATGTCTGGTAGCATATCAATGTTTGTTTGTTATCTACCTTTTGATTTAAAATGCATAAGCTCTTATAGCATACAGTTAAAAAAAAAAGAAATATTTTTCATGCTATTTTACATTTTGAAAAATTAAATCATTTTCAAAAATTGGTAAATTTTGTTTCAGTTTTCTTCCCAAAAAAAGTTATTCACATAATTTTTTTACTTGTTGAAAAATTACAGCAGGAATTTATATGTATTTATTTTTTCTCAGTGGTCAAATAGTTGATTGCAGGAATAGTGAAAATAGTGAAATGCATCAGATTAAACTAAATAACTTATGAAATATTGAACACTGTTTTTTGTTTCTGAAATTTCTAAAAAATATGTTTGGTTAAGCTCTGCATTTTATCAGGTATTATAAATTGCTTTCTGAGTGGGAATGAAAAAGGTCTGAAATTAGTTTGTACTTCTTAATTTTATAAAATTTTATTTCCATGGAAATAACTCAAAGATACGCTTTATTTGCCACCCAAAAATGTAATGAAACATACCAAATCCCCAAATATGTAAAAAGAAATTTGCAATATGCTAAATTTCCATACTTTCCAAAGCTATAAAATGTTTGTTCCAATGTTAAAGATTGCTATTGCTTATATGTGATTTTAGAATACCCTCCTCCTCCTGTTGTACATACAGGAAATTCATTGTCACACTGTTTCTTTATAATTACTTTGAATCTTTAGGTTTAAAGTAATTGTGACTAGTTTAAAGCTCTTCAGTTTTTTTTTTTTTTTTTTTTTTTTTTTTTTATCTAGTAATTGGGCTGGTTAGTATTGTCAATCTGCATATTTCGATCAGCATTTTCCTGTTTTGTACCATACAGCAGCTAACTCTACCCCCTTTTTTTTGACACGTCTCCTGGTAAATCACAGAATCTCCCCACTTTTTAAATTTCTAGTCTTTAGTAGTGAAAGTGTTTTTAAGCAATAAAATTAAATATTGCAAATAAAATTTGCACAGTTTAACTTTTATTGTTGAATTTATAAAGCTTAAGTTGTGTAAATTTCATTCTTCCATCCCTATTGATATTTAGCATATTTTTTCTTATTAAATTTTATTTGATCTGAATTGTAATCATATCATTGACATTTGTAAAATTTTATATGAAGATTCAACCTAATGTTTAATCATTAGATATTTGTATTTAATTTTGTTTTACTTCAATATGTAGTCATTATGTCCATTCATCATATTTAAAGGTACTTTGATGAATCAAAAGCTTTCCTTAGCTACTCAGAATTTTCTGCGTATAAAAAGCGTAAGCAAATTACAAAATGAAATTAGTTAAAGAATGTAAAACTTAGAATATGTAACTAAATATTAATATATTTTATCTCAAAATCTGATTATAAATATTTGAATAAATTCAGCCATGTTATAAAGAGAGTTTAAAACATTCTGAGTTCTTTTAAAATGATGCCACAGCACAGCGCAAAAACCTCCCATCTCCCGTTTTTGATGAGTTATAAGGTATTTTCTCTTTCCTTTTCCACTTGCATTTGTAGTGTAATTGGAAATACATACGGCTGATAGTCAGCAGCTCTGGAGTTTGAAACCTGGCCAGGGCACTGTGGTGTTCTTCAGTTTCTTGTCATCGGGAAAATTCTAAAGACTTTACAAGTGACAACCAGATTAAAAAGTGGTTAAAATTAATTCATCACCACCAGGATTTGTGATTGTGTCAGGAGGTTCGGTATTTGAGTCACTGTGAGGACGCCATTTTATATTTCATGATTGACAGCTATGCCTTATAATGAAGAATAATTTTATCTAAAATTTGAAGAAGTGTGTTGAATAAAATAGAAATCTAAGATAGCTGAAAGGGGACATCGTATATGCTTCACACCCTTGCATATCTGTATGTATTCTAATAAATTTAATTACATGTGCTCTTAACCAAACATCTAATAGCTTTTATGTTTCCTAGTAACTTATTACAGTATACGTTAGTACACCATTAATTAATTTTTCCCACCATTAATCAGACCAGCTATCATGTCTCAGCTAAGATTGTATAGTGCAAACTAGCATATTTTATTTTATTTTTATGTCATTTCTTTCCATAGAAGTGCTTTTTCTCTTTTTTCTACTAAAATAATTCATGCTTGCAGTGCTGTCGCTGAACCATGTGTAAAAATGGCATTTTTAGTCTTCTGTTTTATTGTATACACCAGTGCTAACAGCTAAAAATAATGCTTTTAATCCCCTTTATCTTTTGTTGCAAAGAATTTAATTTACTTTTTTATAAAATTTGACCTACATTCATTAAACTATTTATATTCGGAAATTTAAGTGGAACTGTTTGTAAAATGCAATTTCTGGTCTTAAAAGCTTAAAAATTAATAACTTTTGATTTATTTGAGTGAGTATAGGTAACCAGTATGTTCTGTGATAAATGATGTTTTTAAATTTTATTTAGCATTGTTTAATTCAAATGGAAATCTTTAAACCAATTATTTAGTTTTTTTATTACATTGTTATTACATTGAATTGTTACTTATTTTATTTCATTTACACAATTTTAAAGTGTGTATGGCATAAGAATATCTTAGAAAATATTGGATTTATTATATGGGGAAAACAAAAGTAAAATTGAAAGAAAATTTGTAAATGGATTTAATGACTTTGGTATTTAGGCTATTAATAAATATATTCCACATATTGTTCTGGAACATATGCATGTTTCAACTTTAGTTCTAATCAGAATTAAAATAGTAAAATTTTGTTCAACTTTATTCAGATGATATGATAAAAATTTTATAATACTGAATGGTGTGGATTTCTTTTGAAAGTTGATTGATTTAATTCTACAATATAAAAAGAAACTATGAATTTTACATTCAGTCATTAATTTCTGTTTATTAAAAAGAGATTTTTATGTCATATTTATTCACAGCATGTTGTCTCAGTCTAATTATTCTTAACTATATTTCCATGAACAAATGTTTATAGGAGTGTAATTATATATTTGTTCTTTATTTATTGTTTTGATTCTTCATTTGCTGATAGAAACAAATTTTAAATATGTGTTTCTACTTATAGCTTTTTCCCCCCTTCAAAATAGGGGAAGAATAGTGATTCATATTAATAAACTTTCATGTTGTAAATTCATTTGGTCAGTAATGATTCATCATGTGAAATTTGTTATTGTATGTGCTCTATATACTTATTTTTACTACTGTTGCATGTGAAAGTAATAAAGTCTTTATCTGTTCAAAATATGTTCTGCATGTCTGTGTAATTATCCATTATTCTGTGCTGTATGTGTTTCTAAGAATATTCTAATACTATTTTGAAACATTTAGGAAAGAATAGAACAACAAGAAAGTACATAAGACATTCTGTTTATTATGTGCTTTTAAATTCTTGATTAATTAATTTTATATTTAAAAAATATATTTTGCTTATTATAAAGATTATTTAATATGTCAGACCCAAAATTACATTGTACACATTGTAAGTACTGTATTCATATTTTAGAAATTGACATTCAAATTATGTATTACAAATTATGTAATTTTTAACACTTACGAGCAAGATATAAAACAGAGTACTGAGAAAAGATATCTAAGACATTCCGCTTACCATGCACTATTAAATTTTTTATACTCCTAATTATTTCCTATTAAAGAAATTTATTTTGCATATTTTGAAGGTTATTTAATATGTTAGGTGCAAAAATTCATGTTACACAACTGTATTTATATCTGTGCAATAAATTTCTTGCTACAAAGTAATTTCATATGAAAGAAATGTATTTTATATATTACAAGTGTTACATAATACTCGTATAATGCATTTTCAGTCATGGTATAGAGCTGAATGTGAAATGCAGAACAGTATGACAAACACAAATTTCACTAAAATAGATTCAGTAAATTCAATTAGTAGTAGAATCGAAGGGATACTGCACATAGTAGCAGTTTATTTGTGTGTCACTTAAAAGGCTGTCTGCAAATTGTTTCCTACATTCCACAAATTAGCAAATCCCACAAATTTCTAAACTAAATCGAAGCTGTAGTTAAATAGGTGCAATTGTATTTGGTAGCTGGAGTCGGACAATTACAGAAGTGAAGTTTAAAAGATTGTGCAACTGGAATAAATTTAAAAGGGACTTTTTATGTTATCGCAGTTAGTACTAAGATAATGTAAGCAAATGTTTAATTTGGAATTAGCTTTGTGTCTTTTTACATTTGTACGAAATAAGCATGAAGGTGCTTTTGTTCACGTTTCTTGAAGTGGAAAGGTAAAGTATGCTCACATTCAAGTAAGTAGTGGCATATAGTCCCAGACTGTCCACTGATATAGTTATTCCTGAAAATTTGCCCAAGCCTGAAAACATAGACTGGAAATAGTCCATGTCCTGTTGCGAATTGAGTTATGCTACTAGAACTGCTGAGAAGTTTACGATAAGGATCTCGAATAAAGGTATGTGTTCTACCTGTTAATGTTTGATTCCAATAAATATCCAGTTTAGAAGCTCTTTTTCTAAATTTCTTTTTTGGTATGATATCGGATTTTTCAAGTAATAAATATCAGAATATGTTTTGGTTTCTGTTTTGTCTTGCTAAGAATCTGCTTTTTTATTATTTGGAGTTCCTGCATGTGCAGGTGTGCAAGTTACACTAGGTGCATATTGTGAAGGAAAGGATAACAGCTTCTTGTGGATTTCTGAAAGCAGATTAGTATGAGAATTGCCAGACGTGATTCTTAGTTTGTTAAGTTAGCTTAGACTTGAGAAAGAGATTAGGTAACATACACTGGTGTGCAAAAATTAAGGATGAGACGGTTTTCAATATAACTTTGTACAAAAGCTTTCCAATCAACACATTTAATACCGTAAGATCCCCAATACATAAGGACATGATGAGTAATGTAAGCAACACTTACTAAAAGAGAAATCAGAGGGATAAAAAGAAGCTTTATTGAAAAAGTATCATGGAGCACAATGCGACTGAAGGCAGAAACATTCCTGTGATGGGTGTCCAGCAAGAAACATCCGGTCTTTAATAGGGGATATGATCTCCCCTGACTGCTAGGCAGGTTTCACAACATCTGCCCATGCTGAGAATGAGTTGTTGAGGCATTGCTGCCCATTCGTCTTGCAACGCCAATCGAAGCTCCGGAATCGTTACTGGTGGTAAGGTACGAGCTGCCAAGCGTCTGCCTAGAAAATCCAATACATGCTCGATGGGATTGAGATCCGGAGATCGTGCCGGCCAATCCATATGTTCAATATCCTCACTCTCTAAGAGCTGTTCGGCAGCTACTGTGCGATAACGTGCATTGTCGTCCATTAAAAGGAACTGCGGACCCATTGCGCCTCTAAAAAGACGCACATATGGAAGAAGAATCTCGTTAAAATAACGGGTCCCGTTGACTGAACCTGCGTCGAAGATGTGAAGGTCTGTACGACTACCAAGCATGATGCCTCCCCGAACGAGAACACCGTCACCTCAATACCTGTCCCTTTCAATGATGTTCGAGGGATGATTGCGGCTTCCCCGCTCTCTCCAGATGAGTATACGATGATACGATGAGAATCACTACTCCAGACTGAATCTGCTCTCATCTGTAAAGAGTACTCGTCCCCATTCATTGTCTCTCCAATTCTGGTGTTCCCGGCACCACAGAGAACGCCTTCTCCGATGGGCAGGCGTTAGAGGTACACACTGTACAGGGCGTCGTGCAAACACACCACCACCGTCAGTGTCTTCTGGCCACGGTAAAACGCGATAAAGCGATCGGTCGTCCAGTCGTCTGTGTCGTGTGTCTAGCGATTCTCTCCGCTGTCTGCCGCCTGTTTCTTCTGGCCTGTAAGGCAAATATACCGGTCATCTGCGGGTGTGTTCCTCGTGGACGACCACTACTAAACCCCCGGATAGCGTTTCCTGTAGTTTGAAATTGTCTCCAAAAGTCGTGAAACGATGCTGTGAGCAATTCCGAACTCTGCAGCCACACTTGTCACACTGCGGCCTTCCTCCAACTTCCCATTGATTCGACCTCGGGTCGTCTAACAGATTGATTATTCGCCATTTCTCGCTGAGGCGGCAACTTGGTGTGATTTTAGCTGCTATACGGCGTGCAATCTCTTTGCCAGAAATGCTGATCTTACACCGACAACATGCTTTATACTACTCAGACACTCCCCCATTACGTCTGCCTGTATATCTGCGCATGTGTAACCGTACATCACCTTACTTAATCTCCTGATTGGTCTTTCTGGCCGCTCTGCCTCCAGCTGATATGCTAATTTTTCGACTTCGTCCTTAATTTTTGCACACCAGTGTAAATACTTATATGTGTCAATCGTAATTTCTCCCACAATCTGCCCATGATGGCAGTGCTAATCTGAGCAATTACTTCAAGCTTAACCACACTGTACAAATGTTCACTTACAGAAAATGATTAATGCGATAACAAATTTAATTTTATTACAATGCTTAAGGAATATAGTATTTATTAAGTGTCACGCATTTAGCTTAGGACAAAATTATTTTTATTAGGGAATATGAACGAATAATTGCCTTTATAAGTAATATTTTCTGCACAGAAATGAACTACTCTAACCAAAATTAAAAAGACAAATTTTATTAGAAATGATATACAATTGTAATAGATTATAGACTGAAGAAATAATGGATAAATTCATATAGTCTACAAATCAGAGAAATAATCGATAATTGTATATATTTAATTCACTGAAAAATTTTCTTTTAATTCTCAACTACAAAATATTTTCATTCATTTTCTAAAAATATAGACAATTCATCTCAAACGTTATGGCCAAAATTAAATATTAGAATGATTAAACTAATAATATTTATAAAACTATACCGCATTTGAAATGAAATTCTTTAAATTCTTAGGCCTTATTTTTATGGAAGAGTATTTCATTCCTACATAGGACTGCCAATCATACCAATACATTCTTTTTCTATCATCAACTCCAGGCATGTACAAGCCATTTAGATTAACATCGGTGCATCCGTTATACCACCAAGTACTTTTTCTTGTCATTGAACAATGTTCTGAAAAACTTTCATCAGTTTTTCTATCTTTTGTAGAGAAAGTGCGACCATCGTTATATTTCATTCCATTTCCTAAAAAAAAGGAATCGCAATATATTTATACTATTAGCATATGGTTGCAAATTTTACCTTATTTTGTTTCTAACTTATTTTTCTGTACTTTTGTAGTATTATGTATAGTTTTTATCAAGTAATTTAGTCATTTATTGCATTTCATATAATGATTTCATTGTGTATCTTTGCTTAGTAGAATTTGCGGATACTTTAGTGCTTTGACAGGAAAAATGATTACGAGCTCCATGAAATATGACATTACTCATGAAAACGAGAAGTAATTTCAGTGACTTGTAATGAATAGGGTTTTGTGTGTGTGTGTGTGTGTGTGGCAACGGTATCTGTATTCCATGAATTAGTTTTTGAGTTGTAGCCTCCGTTTTGGTTTCAGATATAAACATTAGTAAATTTGAATTTTTGAGTTTTGACATATGCCTCAGTTCCCAGAGTGCAGAAAATATTTGTATAATTAGAGTCTGTTGTATTATTTCCTTCTTTTCTTGGAACATGCTTATTTTGTGTGTTACGGGAAGTAAAATGATAATGAAAGACGACACTTTTCATTTAAAATAACTCAATTAGTTTTTCTAAAACTCAGAGCATAAATAAAATACTTTATACTTTATTTGTAGCAACAGGGCATTATTAGTATTATATTAAAGCAGGAATTTAATTTTTACCCTCAAAATTATATTTTGGGGGTAAAATCTGCAAAGACTTTTAAAAACGGTAGGTTTCAAATGCTTGACCACAGACTGGTACTCATAAAATTGTATTTATTGCAGAAACAATTCCCATTGACTTTTAAATATATGTTAAAATAAATCATTGGTGAAAATGTGCTTTAGCCCACTGCTTCGCGATTTTTCCAAAGGCGAATTTTTTAAAAACAGCCAATAAAAGCTCAGAATACGCTGCATAAACAAAGTTGAAAAGACGAAGCTAAGTGACGTTCATAAATGGGTGAGACTAAGTTTTGACGTCATAGTGTATTCTCTATAGATATAGAAATAAGTACAATAAATTGTATACATTTCAAATTACAATGATACAATAAGTGAATTCTACTAAGTATTAAAACGGTAGACAACGTCGTAGTCTCTCATACTTTTATTTCATACAGCTTCAGTATTTTC